GGTACATACTTCCGAAGTTGCGACACATGGAACACGTCATGCAAATTCGAAAGCTCCGGCGGCAACGCCACCCTATACGCCACAACACTAATCCTCTGCAAAATCTGATACATCCCGATAAACTTCGGATCCAGATTCTTGGACTTCAATGCACGTCCAACACCAGTCACTAGGTTAACCCTCAAAAATACATGGTCACCCTCACTGAATTCCAACTCTTTCTTTCGGTTATCATAATAACTCTTTTGCTGATCCTGAGATGATTTCATCTTCTCGCGGATCATCTGAACTGTCTCATTAGTCTGCTGCACCAACTCTAGTCCCAACACAACACTCTCACCTGACTCATACCAACACAGAGGAGTTCTACACCTCCTACCATAAAGAGCTTCAAGCGGTGCCATCCCGATACTGGAATGGTAACTGTTGTTGTACGTGAACTCTACCAATGGCAAATGAGTATCCCACGCACCACCTTTTTCCAATACACAAGCCCGCAACAAATCCTCTAAGGTCTGAATAGTCCTCTATGACTGTCCATCCGTCTGCGGATGATAGGCTGAACTCAACTTCAACTCGGTTCCCAAAGCCTCTTGCAAACTCTTCCAAAATACATAAGTGAACCTCGGATCTCTATCTGACACCAATGGTACACCATGCAGCTTCACAATCACCCGAATATAAAATTTTGCCAACTTCTCCAACGGAAAACTGATACTAATAGGCACAAAATGTGCAGACTTTATAAGCCGATCCACAATCACCCAAATCGCATTAAATCCTCTCGCCGTATTCGGAAAACCTGTAACAAAATCCATGGCGATACAATCCCATTTCCAAACCGGAATCCCTAACGGTTGCATCATCCCAGAAGGTCTCTGATGCTCCACCTTTGATTTTTGACATACCAAACAAGCATAAACATAACGAGCAATATCCCTCTTCATGCCCGACCACCAAACAACTTTTTCAAGTCCTGATACATCTTCGTAGCTCCTGGATGAACACTCAGGCTACTACGATGTCCTTCGTCCAAAATCGACTTCTTCAGCTCATCATTATCCGGCACACAAGTTCTGCCCCGAAACCTCAACACACCAGCATTATCCAACTGGAAATCACTATCGGAGTCACCTTCGGCTCCTCGCATCAAATCCACAAGTTTCACATCCAACTTCTAGTGTTCTCTAATCATATCCAAGAAATCATTCTTCACTTGCAATTTACCCAACATTACACCATCCGCAGTAAACTCGCAAACCATGCTCAAATCTCGGAACTGCTCAATAAGCTCCATTTCTTTCACCATCAAAGCCGACATATGAAGTTGGCCAGCAGACGTCTTCAAAAGCTCGATGGCTTCACGGTCCCAGAACATGAAGTTCCCACAATAGCCATTATGTTTGACTTGAATCTCAATTTTATACCTACAAATTATGAAACCATCAGAGACAAATTAAATATATAATAATGATAAAGACTATATAACAAACAATCGACACGTGCACCTCAAGATCTCAGCTTCGGTTCGGTGTCCATCCCTGCAAAAAACAAGGTGGTTTGTCACCCTTAGCAACAGGTGGACATTGATGGCATGCTCTGTAGTGCCAATCGTTAGGTGATGCAATGAGCTTGTCGGTGGTTGCAATAGTAACGCCGAAAGTTGTCTGCAAATCATGATTTCACGATGCTATTATAACATCCAGGTTCTGTAACATAAACCAACAAATACAAAATCAATTTGGAATTACCTCACTTAATGTGATGATATCCTGTAATGGTAGATGGATAGCTTTAGCCATAAACTTTTTGGTCGGGGATAAGCTAGAACCGGAAAATTGTTGCGACCAAGAACGATTTTGGGTGCCAAATGATGAAGATTTTCCCATTTTGAAGTCCACGGGTAACCTGTATTTGGCATAAAGTCATAGCAAATCAGAAATCATTTATCTGTCCCTAAACTTTAAAATTTAAAGAAATGTTGAAATTAATAGGGTGTGACTTTCTCAAAAAATCTTGGAAATCTGGCATATCCTGATTGATATGAATTTTGGTGATGTTGTAGGTATTTGTAATGGCAAGCGGATATTTTCCTACAAAATACATATAATAAAGTGATCAGCATTTAACAAAATAGTGGATGTTAACATCATTAAGTCGACCACTCAGAATTTTTCCCATGTCTTTGCTAACCTTCTTCCTTAACCTTTGCATACTTCATGAGAATAATAGTTGATGTTGATGCATCAAGTTATTTTTGTTTGTAGTCAAAGAACTCCATAGCGTAGCCTTCCCATAGCGTACAATGCAAGGTGTTGTTGCTATTATACCAAAATGAAAATAGTCAGAATATAATGCAACCAACTATAGCACATTACATACAAATTTATTAGATAAGATGCGGTTAACTAGCATACCATAAATCTCTCAATACTAAGTTTACTTGAGGTTTCTTGCCCTAAATTGGGACTGGGAGTATCCAATTTCATCGACCATACCTATAACATCTACAAAAAAAGAAACATCAATGTTTATTTAACAAATATCCAAAGTAAGAAGGCAACGTGGATTGAAATTGTTATAAAATATACCTATTAGGAGATTGTTCGGCCATTTACCTGAGATGATGTCTGCAAATGGGGTAAGGTTAATCACCTTATCGGGGATGTCATGTTTACCAATATCTCCAATTCTTGTCCCACCAGTGAACTTCAAAAGATATTTGTGGGATGTGGGTTTGAAAATCAAATCATTTGGTTGTACTTGGAAGTTCGACATCGTGCAAGTTACATTAACAGATAAAGCCGAATTAAATGCTTGTCTAAATATTGTTGGAACAACAACATGAATATCATGGCTCTAAGATGTGTAAAACAATGTTTAATAGTTAAGCACAAACCTACTCAACCATTATACATATTAAATCCTTTAAAAAACAAAAAACGGAACCATCAGAAAAACCAAACCAAACCATTCAAACGATTTCACTCAAAACACACAAAACACCTTAGTCGGTTACAAAAGAAGACTATATCCAACAGAGCTTCACAAACATAGTTGTAACATCATTAAGTATTTAGCTGAAGTATAAAAAGTATCCAAACAGAAACTATCCAAATAAATGTTCTCCAAAACATTTTGTAAAACATGAGCATCAGAAAAACCAAACCAAACCATTCAAACGATTTCACTCAAAACACACAAAACACATTAGTGTGTTACCTTAGAAGACTATATCCAACAGAGCTTCACAAACATAGTTGTAACATCATTAAGTATTTAGCTGAAGTAAAACAAATCTCAAAACAGAAATTATCCAAATAAATATTCTCCAAAACATATTGTAAAACATAAGCAGTATTTAGCTAAAGTAAAAAAAGATGGAAACTCACTTGTTTTTCTACAACAACCATCTCAAAATGCTCCTTCATTGTGGTGGTAACCTTCCATTTGTGATGTATTTTGACAGCAAGCTTCCATAAATCCTTGCGATCGGCGATGTCGTTTATCATTTCAAAGGGTCTCACCATTTCGTGAATGTTGAGTAACAATAGGAGATGAAACGATGAGAGAGGCGATGAAACAAACCAAGGTAGAAGAAGAAGAGTGGTACAAAAGAGAGATAAATGAGTAAGAGTGTTATTAGGGTGTAGCGTGAATGAGTAGACATGTTTGTAAATCGGTTCCCAATGCAGGCGCACAATACTTGTACAAAGCTTCAAACTATTTCAATTGATAGTTTCAAAAATTGGTTCAGTCAGAAGTATGTTTAGGATTATAGTTAGCCAAAAGTTATGAGGAAAAATGAAAAAAAAAACGTGTGACACTAAACAGTGTGGTTCAATATTTATTTTTTGGGTGCATAAAGACTCAATTTAACCATAAAATGGTGACGTGACAGAAGAAAAGAAAGAAGTAAAAAAGTGATTTCATAGGATATATCTTTTCTTATATGGTAGGTTATCTATCATATACTATAGTCTAGACATAAATCTACAAATGTTATTAAGATATATCATTAACATATAATATTGTTTAATAGAATATCATCTTGTCAATAAATAATACAATTGACGCGACTACGTTATATTAGACACATTAATATTGTTGAGTAACATGTGATATTATGAGTCGATGATTAAATAATTTTACACATTACCTTATAATTTTTGTTCACATGGCCACTATATTTTTACAAAACTTTTTAGATGAAAAATGTAGATCAACAATAATCTATCAGTATTATTAAATACAATGACAAAAATATAAAATAAGTAGAAATAAAAAAAAATATTATCGAATAAAATAGACATAATTAATTACAAAGTCTCTCAACTTAATTTAATATTTCATCTTTAATTCTTATCTAAAAAATGTATAAGTTAACGCTTTTTCATAAAATTTAATTAAAGTGGTAAATTAAACTAATAAAATAATTTTTATAGGATATAAAAAACTAAAGTGAAACATGAATTTAATATATAAACATGCATTAAGCCAATAAATTATATTGATAGATAGGAAAGATGAAAAAAAAATATAGAATGAAATATATTGGTAAGAGAAAAAAAATAAATTGAATAAAGAAAATGATAATATAATATACGTTTCCTTATTTTATTTTATTTTTCTTACTATAGCAAAATATTCTTAGTTTAGTATATTTAATATCGAAGAACGATAATGTCCGAACACCAAAACAAGACAACACAAGACAACAATTACCTACCAACCACTCGACAATTTCTGTAGATTCGAACCGCGTTACTTTTCCATATACCGTTAACTTTATTCTTCACTCTCTTTCTCTTCTCTTTCCTGCGTATCATCTCAATTCCACTCTCTTCTTAAATTTGAATTCATTCCAATATATTCTTCTTCTTCTTCACTTCCACTACTTATATAACCTCTTTCTCGTAACAAGAACAAAAACTCTCTCTTCTTAACTATTTCACTCATATTCATCAGAAACATCATCAAACTTTTTGTTTTTCTTGCAAATGGAACGTGGAGTTGTTGATGGTATTATCAATAGGTTGCTTGAAGTAAGAGGAAGACCAGGGAAACAGGTGCAGCTTTCTGAGGCTGAAATCAAACAGCTTTGTCTTGTTTCTAAGGATATCTTCTTGAATCAGCCTAATTTGTTGAAACTGGAGGCTCCTATTAAGATCTGTGGTAACTTTTCTTCCTTAACCCTATGTTTCTATGCCTTTGTTTAATTGATTTTACATATGTATATTATTTGGTCATTTGAGGTTTTTCTAATTACTATTCAATGTGTCTTGTTCTGTCTTTTTTAATTAGGTTTGTTTATTGTACTATTTGTTGATTGTTCTGCTTTACATTAGAAAATTTTGGTGTGAACTTTGATATTGCAGCAAATTGGGGCAATTGCGGTTTGATGTCTTGCAGAGAGTTCTAAACCCTTAAATTGCGGTTAAAACTGCGATTGCAAACGGCAATATTGTGGAGACGTCTAAAATATCTTAAGTTGAATTAAGAATGATTTTTTGAATGAGGTCTCATTAACTTGATGCTATTTCCATTACCAAGTTCAGCTGCATTTTATGTTTAAGGGATTATGTTGTGCATTCTATGTAACAACAATGGTTCTGTCTCATGTTTCATCATTAACCTAGAGTTTTATGCTTTCAAACTTTTCTAGTATTATACTTTATCGCAGATGCTTTTCCCAATTTATCACTTCATATTATCTTCACCAAGCAGTTGAAAATTAAGATAGTAACAAGATTTGTATAAAAAAACAAAACTTAATCCTGATAGGAATTTGAAACTCATAACACTATTTTGTAGAATCAACTAACTGAAAACACTTCTGTCCTCTGCCACTGATACTAGTTCATGGTTTTAAATTGTGGTTGGAGTCGCGGATGCCGTTGCGGCTGTTGGAATTGTGGTCATTGTGGTTGCTGTGATACACATTGCAGCCATTACGGCATGAATTTTAATTGGGAGGTGTTTGGAATATACTGTTAAAAAACACTTGACATTAAGAATTTTCATTGTATAGGAAGTAAATTGAGTTTCGGGTTCTGAAATTTTGAGTTTTGATGGAAATACTTGACAAAACATGTGCAAAATTATCCAATGTGATTTCTAATAACGGCAAGGCGCATGTTTTGATTCACACTGCAATGCGGTTGCAGACTACTGTATTGTGGATTACATTTTAAAACCATGACCAGTGTCATCTGATGAGCGTGAAACTAGTTATGAAAACGCGGACCTAGTCTGAGACTAAATTTAGGAGAAAAATTTGTTGGGATCAGGAACATATTGAAACCTGACATGTATTATTATCATTGAGGCATAGACTAATATCTTATAGTTTAAGATTACAACTAATGTCTTGTTTCATTTCTCTCTATGTTACCAGGAGATGTCCATGGTCAATATCCTGACCTTCTGCGGCTTTTCGAGTACGGTGGATTGCCTCCTCGTTCCAATTATTTATTTCTAGGCGACTACGTTGATCGCGGAAAGCAAAGTCTAGAAACAATATGTCTTCTTCTGGCATACAAAATAAAATACCCCAGAAACTTTTTCCTCCTAAGGGGTAACCACGAATGCGCTTCCATAAACCGTGTATACGGATTTTATGACGAGTGCAAAAGGAGGTACAATGTGAAGCTTTGGAAAATGTTTACCGATTGTTTCAACTGTCTGCCCGTGGCAGCTCTCATTGACGAAAAGATTATCTGTATGCACGGTGGACTCTCACCAGAACTACACAATTTGAACCAGATAAAGAATTTGCAACGTCCGTGTGAAGTTCCTGAATCCGGTCTACTATGTGATCTCCTATGGTCTGATCCTAGTAGCGATGTTCAAGGCTGGGGAGAAAGTGAACGTGGAGTTTCTTATACGTTTGGTGCCGATAGGGTTAAAGAGTTTCTTCAAAAGCATGATCTTGATCTGATATGCAGGGCTCATCAGGTTGTGGAAGATGGATATGAGTTCTTTGCTAATAGACAACTTGTGACAATCTTTTCGGCTCCGAATTACTGTGGAGAGTTTGATAATGCTGGTGCTATGATGTCTGTGAATGAAACACTTATGTGTTCTTTTCAAATACTAAAGCCACTTGATAAAAAGCCTAAGTTTACCTTTGGAAGCACAACTACTATTAAGCCCGGTACTCCAACAAAATTCAAGGTATTTTGTTTTCTCGAATTAACCATAATTTAACTCAACTGACACATATCGGTTATATCAGATGAGCTACGATAAATTAGGTGTTCATGAAACACTTTTGCTTACTATATTTTCTTTTGTTTTTCCCATTTTCAGCTAACCATTTTTGGTGATAAAGCATGAACTCTTGGACATGATTTTGATGATTAACATTTGGGGTCTGACTGACCAAAGTTGGTCCGGAAAATCGGTGTTCAGTTTGAGATGAAAGAAGAATACAATGCAACTACAAATGTAAGACAAAGCCTCTGCCTGATGCTTCAGGGACAGTAAAATGTTTCTTTCTTTTCATGACAGAGTTGAACCTAGTACAAATATTGTTAAACACAAAACAGAGGATTAAAGTGTCACTTTTCTTCTCTTTTAGTCATTATCATATCATGCTCTATGCTGATCTTCCTTAGTATTATAAATAATTTTAATGTTATATATTGTAGTGTACCATGAAATCCTGTTTCATGATTCAATAATACAGTATCAATTGTTACATTCATGTTTTCTTATAATTGTAACGTTAACGAATCATGAAGGGCTGAATGTTGCAGAACGGCGACGAGTATTGCAACCTTAGTATTACTCTCAAACTCTTCAATATTCGAAAATGATCCTCTTGTACCATTCGAATTTAAACATTTGAACCACCCAATACACAAATAGGGTTTATGCATATTACAAGAGAATTTAAGCGCTGAAACGCATCTAATGCACAAATAGTCCTATTCAGATCTTGAAATCCAAACATAACTATATGTGTATCGGATGAACTTCGGGTACACTTGAGCTCTCTTGTAGTAGGTCCAAATTTCAAAATCACAACAGTTCAAGAGGGATATTTCTGAAAATTTCATAAGATTTTAGAGTAATACGAAGAGTGCAATAAGCAACTCTCTTTCAAATTACGAAAAAAAAATACAATACAAAATAATGGTTTCTAAGTTATATTGGGCCTAAAGATTTGCGCAATAGAAAAGCCCGAATAGTATAAATCAAAGTTATTTATAGTCTAATATCCCCTCACAAAGATAAGAAATTTAATTAAAATAAATCAATTATAATTACTTAGTTGTCAATTAAAGTGCAAGTATTCATTTCACATCTTTGTACAAATTACTTCATAAAAATTATTACAACTTGTGCAAGATTGTTAAAGATTGACAATATTACAATTTCGAAATGAATTAGCCAAACAATTACGTTAAGAGGCACCAAAATTTATATTGGTTCGCTTGTATCATCCTTAATAACAAGTTTCTAAAAGATGAGGGATTAACACTACAGTTTTAATTGTCTTGCGTTTTGATTTGAAAACTGTTCACGGACAGAACAAAATCATAATTATGGAATGGACAAAAACCGACAAAAATTGAAATTTTTATCCTTCACTAAAATGGACACAACTTTTTGTCTATAATACAAGTAATTTAAAATACAAAAATACATTTTTAATTTTTACTAAAACTATACTCTCTCTTCTTCTCTCTCTTTCTCCTCCATTAATATTTACAATACAAAATAAAAAAAAATACCTTTTTGTTCTAAGTACAAATTATTTGAATACAAAAATACCATTTCTCTCTCTCTCTCTCTCTCTCTCTCTCTCTCTCTCTCTCTCTCTCTCTCTCTCTCTCTCTCTCTCTCTCTCTCTCTCTCTCTCTCTCTCTCTCTCTCTCTCTCTCTCTCTCTCTCTCTCTAATAACTTATACTTGAGATAAAAAGGTAATGAAAATATTTTTTTTGTCTCTAGTATAAGTTATTTAAAATACGAAAATACCTTTTTTATATTAAGAAATATACTCTTTCTCTCTCTCTCTCTCTCTCAAGATAAAAAGTTGTCCAATAATTTAAATTTTAATATTAAAGGTAATGCATAGACTTTGAAGAAGCATTCACACCATTGCTAGTATTGAAACCACTAGACTAGTTGTTGGTGTTACAAATAAAAACAATTGGCTCATTTATTAAATGGACATCAAATCTGTGTTTTTGAATGGGCCGCTTGAAGAAGAAGTGTATGCAGAACAATCCCTTGATTTTGTTGTAAGAAACCAAGAGCTAATGTTCTATAAGTTGAAGAAAGCGTTATATGGTTTAAATCAAGCTCCAAGAGCTTAGAAAAAAAGAATAGATAGTTTTCTAAAGGAGGTTGGCTTTAAGAAATGTGTATCCGAGCATGTTTGTTGTGAGAAACCAAGAGCCAATGTTCTACAAGTTGAAGAAAGGGTTATATGGTTTAAAGAAAGCTCCAAGAGCTTAGAACAAAAGAATAAATAGTTTCCTAAAGGAGGTTGGCTTCAAGAAATATGTATCCGAGCATGGAGTGTATGTGAAGATGGATACAAGTGAGTGATTATCCTTTATCTATATGCAGACAACTTATTGATAACGGGTAGCAACGAAAAGTGCATTTCTAAGTTCAAGAGTGAACGTATGAAAGAATTTGAGATGACCAACCTTTACCTCATGACATATTTCCTTGGCATTGAATTCCACAAGTCCAAAAGGGGACTATCATTCACCAAAGAGGGTATGCCTTTGAGATATTGAAGAAGTTTGAAATAGAGCATTATAGTGCTGTCATTTCTCTGACTAAAGCGAGACTACAATTGTCAAAGAATGAGGATGAGCAAGATGTTGATCCAACTCAATATAGGAGGCTGATTGGATCATTGCGTAATTTGTGCAATACGCGACCGAACTTGGCGTTTAGTGTCGGTATTATGAGTAGATTCATGGAGAGACCCAAGATGTTTCATTTGGCAACAATCAAGAGGATCATAATATATGTCAAAGATTCTGTTGGCTGCATAATTCTCTTTCCTGCAGTGGATATGAGCAGAAAATGCAATTTGCTCGGTTTTACTGATTCCAATTGGTGCGGAGATAAAGGTGATCGAAGTCTACAGCTGGATACATCTTTATGTTCAGTAGAGCACCAATCTTATGGTGTTCTAAGAAGGAACCGGTAGTTGTACTCTTATCTTGTGAGGCCGAGTACATTGTCGCTTCATTATGTTTGTGCCAAGCCATATAGCTAATGAATCTATTTGAGGAGCTGGGCACAATGAGGGAGAGGATGTTACACTCCTGGTTGACAATGTTTCCCTGATTAATGTTTCTAAGAACCCAATAGTATATGGGTGAAGCAAGCACATTGAGATGAGGTTTCTCTACTTGAGTGAGGCTTAACTATTTAAGAGAGCTTGTTAGTGAATGAAAGTTAAGATTGAAATATTATAGAAGTGAATACCAAGTGGTTGATTTGTTAATTAATGGAGTTTGTTTACTGTGAAATTTGGTAAACAAAGAAAAACTTGATTTTACTTAATGGATGAAACTCGAAAATATCTAGGGATAGATTTTCTGCAAAATTTATAGGTTTGGAAAGATTTGACAATGAATGTCAAGAACATCGAATAAAAAAGATAAAGTAGTAATGTAAATGAGTAAAATAGAACAATTTAACTTTATAAATGGAACACAAGTACATACATTGAAAACTCATTTCTCACTTTCGCAGTTGGATACATTGACTGTGTAATGTGTAAAATTACACACCCATAAAACTACAAACAATCATTGTTTATATACTAGTCCTAATATAACCGTCTACAACGATCGACTTAGCAAAAATTGACACTTCTTCGTCTTCATGTATCTTTTGTCTTTGATAGGTTTTCACGTGTAATTGAATAACTGTATGATCTTATCCATACTCTTCGATGAAAACATCATAGCCAGGTCAACTAAAAACCCTAAATTTCACTAAGTCTTTTAACTCGACCAGGATTTTCCATGGACTTCTCGACCAGCTTTCCAAATCTCATTCGTCTACAAAATCTCATCAGAAGGTTTAGTGGTCTTCTGTTCGAAATTGACCATTTCGACTATGGGTGAAACCTAAAATCTGTGCCATAGCCAGATTTGGTTATGAATTCCCACGGTTATTACCAGTTTTGAACATATGAGGTGACAAATCACCCCCTCCCCCCCCCCCCCAAATGCCATTTTATGACCACACAAATGTTGAAAGGGAGAAATGTGGCATTTTTAATACTTTTCGACACTGTTCAGATCACTCTGCTGGCGTCAGTCTCATCATTACGCCTTTTCTCAAACATCTCTTAGCATGGATTTTTGCATAAGAGTCATCATAACTCCTACATCCTAGAAGAGTGGGAAATAACTTCCATAGCCCACTAACATTTCCACTACCAAGAGAAGAAACATTTTCAGCTACCACACAAATGTCATTAGTCGCATATTTTACCCACTAAGATTCTTTATAAGTATCAGTCAATTTTTTTTACATTTTATTTCTTCCAACTTCAAGCATTTGCACGCGTTAGTTTTTTGCTCAGCAAAAGAAAACTTTTCAGAATGCTTCAAAAATAGAAACAATGGGCGCTTTCACAACTTTTGCACTAGTTAGTAGCAAGAACCCACTTACATTTGCGATTCCGACATCAGAAAAGGAAAAAGGGAGAGATTTTGTGCCCGGACCACCGTTTGACAAGGAGACAACCTCTATCTGGGTAAAAGAGATACTCATTTTGTTTTCCCTTTCTCATAAAATCCTAGTGTTTCTAGGTCCCTTTCCAACTACCAAATCACACCCTGAGAAGGTGAAAATTTTCTTTCCTTGTTATCCCATTACCATGCCTTCTGTGTTCGAAGAACACGCTCTCGAGTTGAATTTCATGGAGACGCCTATGCACGTTTTTTAATCAGCAGCCTGTCATACCCCAAATTTTGCAGAAAACCACAAATGTTGGTTTATCAGTTATCATCCTAACTGAGTGGAAAGACAATTTGGTTTTAGCCAAATGTTTCCAAAATCTCTCTACACCTGGGAGAATGATATCTTCTAGTTAGAGTGAAAATGTTCTGCTCAAGAGTATAAAGATTGCATGCAGTTCCAACATCAACAAGTTCTTGAACTACCCACATTCTACTTTCAACATTCCTTCTACTCCATAGTGGAGTTTGATAATTGGTAGTCGAAATACTTCCATGGTTACTTTTTGAAGAAAAAGTTTGCAAAAGGATGATGACTGGATTTTCTAACTTACAATAATGCCTTGAGAAAAAATCAGGTGCACATTAACAAATTTTGACTCCTTTCT